GACGGACGACGGACGGACGGACGACGGATGCCACGGTATGGCATAAGCTCACCTTGGTCCTTTGGACCCGGTGAGCTAAAAATCATAAATCTCATTTCATAAAATAATTGACAACCTAATTTAATCCTTTAATCCAAAAGATATAAAAAAAAATCAAAAAGAAATCCAAGAAACATTTATTTCACAAATGATTATTAGGACCTAAATTATAAATGTACATTAAAAATTCAATTTTACTATCTTTTAACATATAAAAAAATCATGAATGTTTGATGGATGATATGTTCATGCAATATATTCTGAAAAAATTTAATTACAATTTGATTGCCCAAGATTGTACTGTTCATAAATCCATGGGTGGTATCTTTATTCATAATATGATGCCAGTGATCATATATAAAATCATGTACGATAAGTATGATTAAACACAATCTCATATTGAAATACTTGAAATCTTTTTAACTTTTATATATTGCTATATAAGTTTACATGAAGATAACACTATTTAATGGCTTTTTTTACATATAAATCAGAGGATGATCTGTTGCACATGTAATAAAAGTACCAATAATTAAATTTATAACAAAATAAGCTGATAAACAATATCATTCAATGATGCTGTGGGATATCTACTGTAAATGCTGTATGATATCCATGTGAAAGAAGACACTATATATAGGAAATAAAATCCTCGAAATTCCCTGGGGATTCTAGAAGACTTATAGCAAACTAGAGGTCTTAAATTTGGGCATTATTATTTGAAAGTCATACAATAGTTAGATAATCATACTTATGTAGATATTTACATACATAAACAAACATGTACAATGCAAACTCAAGTTCTCTTTTTATTGTGTTGCAAAGACCTTATATACCCAAAACAAACTTCATAACATGACACATCCAGAATCGTAAGTACGCATGCACCGATCCAGACAGCAACAGCAGGGGTCAAGCAAGTGCCTACTTTTAGGTTTACCGACAAAGGAAACACAGTGAAAAGGCAATAGGATTTTCCAATTTGGTTTGTCTTATGGTCAGGAGTTAATGAAAGGTTTTCTAGATGGAGGGATTCGTGCAGCAGACAATGAGACATTCTGGCTATGATATAGGAAGATATGATATAGGAAGAGCTGATACAGTTACCTTGGCAACATCATTCGCAGCTGGCACTGTAGCCGTCTACATCAAAATAAATATGTTTACAGTCAAACTACTCTTTGTTATATATTTGCATATACAGGGGGTTTTAATCTGTGCTTTTTAGGGCAAAATTTGGTTGCATTCCTCATGGTATTTAGACACTTTTTACCCAAAAAAGAATGTCCAACTTCGCAATAAATAAACAAATGTAAATTCATGTATTCATGTATATATATTAATATTTAACAGCTGATATTTTAGGAGAAGGCGGATTGACTTGTACAAATTAATTCTAAATAAAAAGTACTGGGGTAAAAGTATGTAAGAGGTTTTATTAAAACATGCAGTGCCAAAAAATAATACAGATATAACAAAAAAGTCAAGAAAAAGCTACTTTGAGACAAATAACTTGTGATTAACACCTTCATGTAGCCTCGTTAGGTCCGACAGATAAACGGACATCTCTGAAATATACTTCTTCTTTTAGGTGAGTTTACAGTACAAATGCACCAGTTATAATTGTGACACTTAGGAGGAGTTCCATTTATTCAGGCTTTTCAGTAACTTTTATTTGGACAGACCAAAATGATAATTTTAACAAGCCAACTTTCGTAAAATTACATATGAAATATAAGAAAAAGGTGATTTTAACAGACTACAATCATAACTGAACCAGTGATTATACATGGCCGGCTTAATGAAAACCCAGTTATTCATCTCTCATTTTGATGCTGTACATTCATAGTTAATGGAAAGCATCATTGGTAAAGTTTAGGACTGACATTTGATAGGTCCTGATATGGACCCATGTAGGTTTTGTTCTTGTGTCATTATTTTTTTTGTTTTATATTACTCATTTATTTTAAACAATTACAACTTGGTTAAACATGGATTGCAAGATATGATTAACATGGGATATTTCTGTTGTAAATTACTTAAAACAAATATTTCTTAATACAGTGTTGTGACAATGGTAATACCTGTTGTCGGTACAATTTACCTCATGTCTAAGACGTGGAAGTAGAAATATTGACTATAAACAAACTAATAATATCAACTTTACTTGCATTTCATTTCTAAGAAGTTATCGATAATTTTATAGTATCTTATTTTTTAAAATTTCAGTTTGATATATATATACAGAAATAATGGAGTTAAGCCAACTGCTTGATGAAAAAAGTGGCGTATACGTACAGCTATTGTCTAAACTAAGATGTTGTCCTACAATAATAAGAAATCCTTCGTATAATGCATGCAAATCTTTCAAACTACTTTTGTCAAAATAACTTTTGTGAAGGAATGGACATGCCCAAGCGGTACCTGATCTCATTTTAAGTCTGAAGCAGTTTTAACTTTCCCCAAGATCAAAACCAGTGACATTATTAACAAAGGTCATGGATATGCAAATACTTTGTTGATTTAGGAGTAAACAGTGTTAAATGTCAATAGCTGGACAGAGGGTTGTCAGCCCCACAACTGGTAAGTTCAGTTGGTACGTAACCTGGGCAGTCATATACACCTAGATTTCTGAGGCATTAATCCCTGTCGCATTGTTATAAGGACTACACGTACATGTCCTAGAAATATTCATAATAGTAACTGCACTAACAATGTTAGTAACATTTAACAAATGAAAACAATATTTACAGCAGCAAGCTGTTGACACTCTATCCTATCTGATTGTCATTTTGTTTAAAATAAGAAATGTGTGTATTATTAATCAAATGAAGTTTTATGAATGGACCATTTCTATTATGCAGGCCAATGAAGAGGAAATCATCAAAATACAAAATACAGTTTCATTAAACTACTGACTAGTGCAAAACATAAATAATGATTGCTCCCTTCTAGAATGACAGGTGCCTTGTTATATATCGTCATATTCAAAGTACAATTATTTGAACCATACCTTCTCATTCTCTTTCTTATTTCGTAGTCGCTTAAACATGGCTAAATTTTAAAAACATGTAATATCTTAAAATAATGACTAAAATTAACTCTTTCATCGAGGAACCGTCTCGCCCCCAATCAGAGTACTGCCCTCCCGGAAGTTGTCACCGGAAGTCAAGGACATCGCGACCTCTGACGAATAAGTTAGGAAACATCATTCACGCCGGGTTGAAGAACATCGCCTTATAAAGATGCTTGCCTCGTCTATAACAAAATATTTTCCCATTCTAAGAGTAAGTTGGTAATTTGGGGAATACTATGCCATATTGCTAATTCTTTATATTATCTCAACCTTTGAAAATAACTTAATAATTTGATTAATAGTGTAGTCATAAGTCAGCTGATGCAAGGGTCTTGTTGACGTTAGTCTGTAAAATAAAATATTTAAACTGTTCAAGATGTTCGCTGTGAATGTCTAAGAACAACTCCATACACATATTGCCTTTTTTACAACCGATGTCAACAGGAATTTCTTGCTAATGACTGTTCACGACTAACAAATTACAGCAGTCGCTTCATGCGCAATTCAGATTGAATTTTTTGGCCCTTAATTTTGTTTGTCTTGTTGTTTGGATGATATCCGCGAATTAACAGTTTTATACAGCGCCGTAGTGACATCGATTATGTATTTTTTTACTAGTTATTATATTAAAGGTGTATTTTGACAGATGAGGCTGGTCTGTGTGGATTAACTCCCTTTGCCCACAGATATTCCTAAATTATCATTCCCAAATAATAAAATCATCTCAATGAAACCAGGGATGTGTAGTCCACTACACATCCCTGATGAAACAGAATGGTAAATTGCAATTCATTTGTCACCCATTTCGCCATTAATTTAAAATGTTGAAGTTTTTTCTTGTCTTCAGAATTCTGTGAATTCTGAAGACAAGAAAAAACTTCAACATTTTAAATGTGCACCAACAAAACCATAATTCATGAAAAAATAATTTGTTTCTTTGTAGTCTGGATCAGGAGGGCAGGTCTACCGATGTTTCTCCGTGTCTCAGACCAGAAACTATTCTTCAACACGTAAGACATTCCTGTATATTCATAACACATCTCCTGAAGTGTAGTTAGACATTTTTGATATTCCTATTTATCACTTTGTTCGAAGCATGAATTTTCCCACTGATGAACATATTTTTCAAATAACTTAACTCATCGTTGTCGACGTCATACCATTAGTCTACGACTACTATTGTGAAGTTAAGGTCTTCTTTCTAAGTTTTGTTACTGTAAATCAGCAGTAAGTTAGAACACCTATCTTCAGTTTATTAAACATCTGAGATATTTTCTATTACCGGTTTCCCCATTGTTAAAGTTAAGGAAATAAATATTAACGAAACCATTGTCAACTCTTCTTTTTTTTATTGATCAACTCTATATATTACATGTAGATGGGTCAGCCATTCTATATGTTCACATGAGAAAAAGACCAAGATCCTGATTCTTCAAACTTTTGAAAACAAACAGAAAATTTGCTTCTATTCACATATACATTTTTAATACATGGACATAAAAAAATCTATCTAATTGAACATCATGCTCAGTACATATATGAGCTGTTTATACAGTTTATTTAAAAAATGTGTAACCTCCTAAACAAATCCAGAGGTTATGCCATTCTTTTAAGTGTAGATATTTTATGTCAAGGTCATATAACCCTTGAATTTTGAAGATGAACAAAGATATGCCATGCTTGCCACCTTTTTGAAATTTCCATGGGGGAGATTGCGCATGCCCAGAATTAAAATCATAAATAAATTGTGTGTATGTACACCCTAGGGGAAAACAATACTTTTAAATGGCATCTTTTGAGCTGTTATTTCAAAGGAAATCGTTAGTTCTTAGGAAATAGGAATAGTTCAGCAAATTAACTGTTAGAAAATGTTCACTTTAAGGGTTCAAAATCGAGAGACTCCCTCCAAAATAGGGAGAGTTGGACAGTTTGATACATACATTTTAATGTACATGTATTTGTAAACTTATTTTACTTTATAAATATGATTTATTTCCATCACAGCTGACAATGACCTGGTAGTAATAGGCTCTGGACCTGGTGGATATGTGGCCGCTATCAAGGCAGCACAGCTGGGGATGAAAGTAAGTATTAGGAGCATGGTGATGATAGTCTAGTGTGACTTAATTTACACTTGTGTGTAAGAAAATTAATAAAAATATCATACATGAAATATACGGAACATTCATATATATTATTGGTGGTAGAGGAAAACCAGAGTACCCAGGGTAAAAGACACCAACCTGTGATTAGTACACCTGGCAACGGCCCCACGTATAAGGCCTTGAACCTGCAACACAGTGCCTCCTAATAAAAGCCTGACTGGCTGGGCTTGGCAGATGATTTCTTTTAAATCTACACAACCAGACTGATAGCTTTGAATGTTGAGGAAAAATGAAAGTTTTATTATGTGATTGAGAACTTAACTAATGATTCAAATTTCATTTGAAATTTTGTACAACTGGGCTTAGCTATTGCAAATAAAGGAACAAGTACAAAATGTAGGCTTTGGTATTTCAGTATTTAGGGTTAGATTACTCATAAGATGCTTGGTTTAGTTTGTGATTTCTTGGCTATTGCAGACAATATGTGTGGAGAAAAACGAAACCCTTGGTGGCACCTGTCTCAACGTAGGGTGTATCCCATCGAAGGCCTTGCTCAATAACTCGCACTTCTACCATATGGCCAAGGGAAAAGACCTCAACAATCGGGGAATTATTTGTGAGTCTGATAAAAAAAATAGAACTTTCCTCAAGTTTGTTGACAAATATATATTTTTATGAGGAATTAATTTTTCAATGTAAAATTAATTTGAAATTGACAGAAAATTAATGCTGTTTTGGCCAACATTTTAAATTTTATATTCAAAAATAAATATCTTATTATTTGTTTCAGGCGACAATGTAACGTTAGATTTAGACAAGATGATGGGACAGAAAGTGAAGGCAGTGTCCGCTCTGACAGGAGGAATCGCTCATCTCTTTAAACAAAATAAAGTAGGTACATCATGTCTTCATCTTTAAAGATAGATTACTATTTTGTGTCGAATATTGAGTTGTATTTTATATGCGTTAGATATGTAATGTGACATAAAAGTGAAAATGTAAAGGGTTTAATTGCTTTTCAGGTCTTTTGTATATTTGATGCGATGGTAGAAAGTTGATTTTGTTGTCTACTCAACTATAAAGTTTACATAAAATTGATTACAATATATAAAATGGTCGGGTGTTGAAAAGATTTTGGTTCAGTATTTGGCATTCTCCATTAATTTCCAGATAAGTGATATCTTGTCATATTTATTAATATTTAATGTGGAATTAATATAATCGAGTTAAATCTTAATAAAAAAAATATTGCTGAAATGTTCAGACACATACTTGTTGAATATTGTAGGTAACACATGCTAAAGGTTTTGGTAAGATATCGGGTCCTAACGAAGTAACAGTAATCAAGGATGATGGTACAGAAGAAAAGATCTCCACAAAGAATATACTGATAGCTACAGGATCTGAAGTAACACCTTTCCCAGGTATAGAGGTAGGTGAGACAGAAAGCATGTCAATTGGAAGTGGTGGAACAGTTACACACGTAAAATGCTTGGATGGTGACCCACACAGTATTTATAAATTAGATGATATGTATCTACTACTTAGTACTTTTCCTTGGCTTTGTGTTAGGGTTATCTCCCTTAAGTTTTATGGCCTGTAATTGTATGGGGCAGGGGCGTATAATGCTACCAATGTCTGTCCCATCCAGTCCAACCCTGATTCAGTATCAATGCTACAGGGACTTCATTTCTGAATGAAATTCAGTCAAACTGTATACAAAGCTTAAGTATGAGAATATGCTAATTGTATTTTATAGAAACTTGTCAAAACATTTAAATAGATACATCCTGTATTAATGCATAGAAATGTACTGCCCCTGGTACAGCTTAAAACCAATTAAGATGAGATTATGAAGTGATATGAAAACTTTCAAAAAATGTCATATTTTCATAAAACTAATAACTTACTACCACTATACCTTGATGTTCATGTTTCTTGTACTGATTATTATCTTTTTTTTGCAGATTGACGAAGAAAGTGTCGTTTCATCTACAGGAGCACTATCTCTAAAGAGCGTCCCAGAAAAGATGGTGGTGATCGGAGCTGGGGTCATCGGCGTAGAGCTGGTCAGTAAAACAGATAAAGACTTTAACTGTAACATGGACTAAATCGTGATATCCAAGTCCCAGTGGATATGTATGGCATTGTACAAAAACTAGATTGATCTGTACACTGGTACGGTAAACCTTCGGTCAGTTCGAACAAAATTAAATAAATACACGAAATTATAGGGCTCTGCTAAAATAAAGAGTAGTTCGAACTATCCAAGTCGACATCGGCAAAAATCATGGCAAACAGTCAAGTCATTGATACGGGACAACGACGGCCTTATTGCGATATATATTTGCAAATCTGGAGATGAATAATGGTATATATATATTTCTTATATTTACTTACATATTGAAAATCAATTATTAAGTTCAATTGCAAAGCAGAGACAAGTATGTTGGTCGCAAAGCAGTAGATGTTTTTCTCGGGTAATGACGAAAGTTCAGTTGTACTGATTAGAATGCTGAGGGTGGATTGAAACTGTAATTACGGATTAATAGTTCGATCTACCACCTGGTCAGATATTTTTGTTTTGGCACATGTTGGTTTATATATCAATTAAGTTATATATCAGTGATCGGTGGCCAGGTCAGGATTATATAATAAAATTGTAATCACAGTAATATCATGACAATACACACATCTGTCAGCGATGTGACGGTAACATTCCGCGCTCCGTGTACTGTTAAGATATCATACATGGTCGGGGCCTAAAAACTCAGTTATCAGTGACATGTGACTTATTTATGTACAAATTGTCCGACATTGATGACAACAATGGACTCACATGAGTACTACCTGTTATTCAGTAGGTAAACGCTGTCGATGCGCAAATAGATCAAGTTTAAGGAAGTTTTCAAGGCTATTATTGCATCGCCGATAGCCAACCTCGATCAATAATTACGTAAGTTCAGTACTCAAGTTGTGTGTTCGAACAATCCGAAATGTGTGTAAGCAGGGTTCGAAATATCACTAGACAGAAAATTATTATTTTTATTGTTCAAAATGGTGTTCAAACTATCCGCCTATTCGAACTGACTGGAGGTTAACTTTACCAAATGTTATATTTGAAGGAAATAATTCAATAATTAGGGTTGTTGGCTGACACGGTGGATAGCACTCTTGCTTTTCACCAAGGTGGCCAGGGTTTGATTCCCCGATCGGATGTGAAAAGGTATGGGGTCACCTGTCTGACAACCCATGTTGTCTCCAGGTCCTCTGGTTTCCTCCAACAGAAAGACCACACATGCACTAACATCCAGGCTGACAAGAGCGTTTAATATAAGTTGAGATAACTTGTTTCATAGTTGTTGTAAAAAAATAAAGTCTATGTTTATAATTCAGTATTTGGCAATCCTATTTAATAGTAAATTTTAATATAAACAACCATCCAAGAAAATCCTGCAAAAACAATTCATAAGTAATTACAAAACACTTACATCATTTAAATCAAATTTAATAATGATTAGTACATTGTGACATATGTTTGGTTCCAGGGCTCTGTGTGGCAAAGGTTGGGAGCTCAAGTGACATGCGTCGAGTTTCTAAGCCATGTGGGAGGTATGGGGATAGACATGGAAATATCGAAGAACTTTCAGCGCATTCTACAAAAGCAAGGTTTAAAATTCAAACTGGGCACGAAAGTGACAGCAGCAGTAAAAGAAGGAAACAACATCAAAGTGGCCGTAGAAAATGTGAAATCAGGAAAAGCAGAAGAGGTAAGGCTTGTGTTCTAAAGTAAGATTCATCAGTTTGGAAAGATGTCATCATTGAAACTCAAAGGGTTTGACTCTCAATATACGGCCAAATAAACAAAATCTCGAGTTTTTGCTAGCCCTATCTACCTTCGGTTTTTGTGCCTACACTAAAGTTTTCATTGGCATTTAGTGATATGCACTGTTTAAGTCAGAACTCTTGCTCTATATAAACATAGGAAAAATATTTTCAAAAGAAAAATATACCAACCTACCTACCTATTTTTCCGAGGATGATATGGGAAACACAAGTATTTATTAGGGCCCCGTATCAGAGATACGGGTTCCCTATAGTAATCACTCTGTCTGTCTGTCTGTCTGTCTGTCCGTCCACCAATTCTGTTCCTGGCTGATAACTTTGGTATTTATTGACCGATGTACATGAAACTTGGTCAAGATGTCCAATTCACAAAAGTACACATTGAGGTAAAAAATCAAGGTCAAAGGTCAAGGTCATTAGGTTCAAAGGTCAAGGTCAAATTTTACATCTTTTCACTGATGAACATTTTGTTATGATATCATAGGCAAAGTTGATCAGAATTAAACAAAGAGTCAACTGACCAAAGGTCAAGGTCATCGGGTCAGGGGTCAAGGTCAAATTTTGTAGCTTTTCACTGGTGAACATTTCGCTATGACATTATGAAGCAAAGTTGTTGGGAATTAAACAAAGAGACACACTGAGGTAAAAGGTCAAGGTCAAATTTGCATCTTTTCGCTGATGAACATTTTGCTATGATATCAAGAAGCAAAGTTGGTTGGAATTAAAGAATAAGTCAACTGACCAAAGGTTAAGGTCATTGGGTCAAAGGTCAAGGTCAAATTTGCATCTTTTCACTGATAAACATTTCGCTATGACATTATGAAGCGAAGTTGTTCTAAATCAAACAAAGAGACACACTGAGGTTAAAAGTAAAGGTCAAAGATCAAGGTCATTAGATTCAAAGGTCAAATTTGCATCTTTTCACTGATAAACATTTTGTTATGACATTATGAAGCAATGTTGTTCAGAACTTAACACAGAGTCAACTGACCTTAGGTCCAGGTTACGGGGTCCAAAGGGTCAATGTCAAGATTTGTATTTTTCACTGATGAACATTTTGCTATGATATCAAGAAGCAAAGTTGGTTGGAATTAAAGAATAAGTCAACTGACCAAAGTTCAGGGTCACTAGGTTAATGGTCAAGGTCATTTGGGTCCAAAGGTCAAAGACAATGTGGATCTCTGACCTTGACCCTGGCTCTTGATGTAGGAGGAATATAAGGTGAAAAAAACAAATCAAAGCTAACAAATGAGTATTGCACCGGTATTTACATTTCTGTTAGCCCAGCAAGTATGGGGGCGGAAGGAAACACGACTCACATCATAGTACATGTAAAATGTATATTTTGCTTCCTTGCGATTCTTTTTGAAGTCCAAATGCCAAATGTCAAGCTCAGCTATATGGGCAGATTGCTTCTTGATGATTATGGGGAATATATTGCCACAAGATGGGGCCCTTACTGACCTGTCAGTGTTTTAGTTTTTTGCCTACTTACCTTCTCTTAACTCTTGGAATATGGCATAACAAATGAAAGCTCTTTGGGTAACACATTGCGAATGATACAAGTGAATCAGTCTTGACATGTTCAATGAAGATCAAAGGATTTGTGCAGCATGGTGACGGTAAAAGAAACATGTTTTGAAGTGAGATGTTGCTTCTCTACAGGACAGGTATCAGCCTATAGCTATTGGTCAGGTTCTTATAGCTGAACCCAATCAAATAGCTTACCCTGAATCTTTGATTTTGTCCTAAGTTACCAATGGTACAGAGAAGATATGTGAATTTAAGAATAGAACCGATGGATTTTCAAAACTGGAAAGACGTGTGTATCAAAGTTTTACTTCATACTTATTTATGTGTCGCAACACGAGGAAAATTACTAACACAGTCATAGCTTGTTGATGAGACCAGTCAATTTTGAAACCATGCAACACGTTTATACTAAACGTTGTTTGTGTATGAAGTATAACATTAATACATATATAACCATGGACGACTTGAAATTCAAAGTATCTACTAAAATGTTATGCTGCCTCAATAAAGAAACTCAAAGTCCTTATCTTTCTCACACATATGTGCTGTAATATGGACTTTACCTTAGGATGAAATGAAGACTGTCCAGAGAGACAAAATATATTAACATGATTATTAAATCATGAAATATTAGTTTTGCAAAGTTGTGTTGGCCTTAATCAGGTAAATTTTTGAGAAACTAGATCAAGGCTTGCAAATTTATAGCTGCACATCTTCATAAATTTACAGTGAATTTTAAAAAAATATGTAATTTTTACAATCGGAATGAAATATTTTTTAATAAATAATGTTCTGAATATTCTTTGTAATTGTTATACTGTTAGATTGATGAATGAAATATGATTTGGAAGCAAGTTTTTGAAGTTACAGCATAATGTTTAATTGCCTCATGATGTACAGTAGATATACAGTACTCTAAGACAGCATTTAATATTGGTGACTAAATAAGGCTCACAACAGCTAATTAATTACAAAGTTACAGAATCCAATAGATGTACCAGTCAATGATATGACAGTAAGGGCCAGTTTTAAATTATCCTGTTTTGTTGTCGTCTGAAATGACTAGCTATAATTCTACCTACAACAGATAGACTGTGATACGTTACTGGTGTGTATCGGCCGACGTCCTTACACAAATAACCTTGGACTGGATACAGTGGGGCTCCAGCTGGACAGTCGCGGCAGAGTACAAGTCAACTCTCGCTTCCAGACAGATGTTCCAAGGTAAATGTAATTGATGTTTGTTCCCTGACAAGATGGAAAAAGTTGTTTCCCCTTTGTTTGATAAAATATCTGATATAATCCTTGCTTTGAACAATGAAACATGCTCAGTATCTTGGTGAAGCTTGGGAAAACAGAACATTTCCAAGGTTTCATATTGATATTGGGTAAGGAATCAATGAAGCTGAAACAAAAAAAAATGTGGTTTTTTTTTTATAAAATTGACAAAAGTGAAAGGTACTGCTTGTGGGGTAACAGAAATTTTGTTATAAAGGCCTACATTGCATACCCTCCCTACTTGGCTGTGAAGTCTAGAGCTTTTAAATTATCAATACTACATATGGTGATCATGTGTATTCTTTCTCCAGTTAATGTGACCTTTTTCACACTATTTTTCAGTATATTTGCCATTGGAGATTGTATTGATGGTCCAATGTTAGCTCACAAAGCTGAAGATGAAGGTAAGTGTTGCATGCACAAAGCCCCCAGATACACCATCAGTTGGAATAATTTTACTTAAAATTGGCTTTCAGATATCAACAACTGAAATTGACGCATTGATTTGGTGAGATGTTTTAGAAAAAGTGATGTACTCATGTGTTCTAGGTTACAAAATGCAGTTCATAGGGCAAATACAGTAAATCACATATCCCTACCAAAATCACCAGGTTTCGTTTTTGGGATTTCACTCATAGAGTTTGATTAAAAACTTGTATGAAAGTACAGGAAACCAGGAAAGCAAATCATGGATAAAAGGGATTTTGGTGTTTTTGGGTCAGGTATGTCTGAAGTGAAAACTAATTGGTTGAGACATGAATAAGTATTCGAAGAAAATTGAAATAATTCATTTTTTGTGTAACATAAAAATTGTTTAAACAAGTGCAATAAAGCTAATTCATTTACTGAAGAAAAGTTAAAATGCTGCATTCGATCCAGTTTCAAAAGTCTCGCAGCCATGAGAAAAATTTCTTCGTAAATGTATATTTCTTCATAGTTAATTAGAATGGTCTGTCTGTGACTTAAAGATGTCTAGCTCGGCAGGTTATACAAAGGTGATCCCATACTGTTACTGATTTACATAATAAACTCATATGTAACAGAACTGTTATATATCAAATGTGGCATTGAAAATTTAAGTTAAACCTATGTTTTGTTTGTTACAGGTATAATCTGTGTAGAAGGTATCAATGGAGGTGCTGTCCACATCGACTATAACTGTGTCCCCTCTGTCATCTACACACATCCCGAGGTCGCCTGGGTGGGCAAGACTGAGGAACAACTGAAGGAAGAGGTGAGGCAACATCTGTGGTGAAACATATTATGCACAACATGCGTCTCTTCAAAATTGAAGGATTCTCCTTGTCATAAACATATGTTCTTGTTAATCCCTTGAAATATGTTGTGAAAGGCTGTGTATGCCTGACCTTGTGGATTATATAAGTAGACTAGTTTGATAATCTGATATACATAGAAATAATCATCCAGCAGCAGAACGTAGAAATTGTCCGGTTTTGAAGTTGCGTGTCACTCCTCTGTAATATTCAGATTTGGCAGTATCTGTACATGATATGAACATCTAACAATGGAATTAGAAATTTTCTTATGCATGTGTTCTTACATGTGTCTTTTCATTAGAAGCACGAATATTCAATATTTTAATGGTGTAGCAGCCATGTGAAGTGATATCTGTGTTGTAAATTGGAGACAAAAGACTTTATATTCTAGTACTGTATTATCCATCTGCCATTGGGATCAACATCAAACAGTAGAGGCAAGAGTATTCTATGTTTAACAGTGAAGCGGTCATGTTGGGTAGTATCTGTGTTGTAAATTCTTACGTTGGGGGCAAGAGTACTTTATATTCTAGGTCTATGGTGTCTCATCCATCTGTCTTTGGGATCAACATCAAACATTGGAGGTGGGAATATCCTAAATTATCTGAATAATGAAGCCACTCTGGTTAATTGCTTTCCAGCTCCACTTAAGTATGCCAACCATCATGTTTGTTGATCCCATGTGAAGTTTCATAATGAAGTTGACTTATAATGTAGCCCACAATGCAAGCTGCCAGAGTGTTCGCAAGTTATTATTTATATCTTGTGTACAAGTTTGTAGCTAAAATGCAGCTTTAGACCAAGTTACTCCAGAAAGGATAATACAACTCAGATATGAAGGATATGAAGTTATGAACATTTATTATAGGGATCAGATGAACAAGAACTTAAAACATGAAATGTATCCTCTATGAAGTATGGTACAGGATATAATTATAAGAACCAACATGATTCTTAAAATGAATATTAAAAACATAGATCAAGAATACCAACTAACTATTGTACATGTACATTCAACAGGTGTAACAAAATAATCATGACATAATCACACAAATTTTACAAAATAATTTTGGCCCTTGGGAATTATTTCTCAGCTGCTTCTGTATGGACTTGTAGAGTAGGTCTGTCCATGTTAGTAAAAAGACTTATAAAATTATGAAACAGACCTTCCACGATCAACCGGCTAGAACAGGGATGTTCTAGTGTAGGAGAACAGGGATGTTCTATATCTAACAAGGTTGAGTGGTGCCATCTGTAACCAGGGTGGTTACCATAGAGGTCGATTGATAGTAGAGTATAATGTACTGATACACTAATTTAAAACTTGAATTCTATTACATGTTTTAGAATGAATATTATGACCTTGGCAAACCCAAGGTTTTTTCCCCTTTTAATAAAAGGGGTTAAAAAATTTGAAGTGTGAGTCCAAGCAGGGAAAACAATTCCCAGTATACATACATGAGAAAGGGTGTGAGGTGGGGATGGTGGCGGATAAGGAAGAGATTATCGTAATGAAGAAAGTACGTCAGTCTCTCAGATGGAAATTTTTATAAATGAAGCTGACTACTAATTAACCAGGTCACGTGATGGAGAGGGTTATCTTGGTTGGTTGACTTCTAATTATTAAGGGGCACTATAAAGGGTCATATGCATAACATTAGCATGTTAACCGCATCCGTTCTTAAATAATCAGTTCTCAAATAAATGTAACAAATAGATATCTGGAGTAGTCTGGGCTTGTATATGAAGCTGGAGTAGTATAGTGAGTAAGTAATTCTACAATAAGGGAATTACAGAGAAAACAGGGAGGTGTTCAGGACATACAAAATCAATAAACACAATTATATGAAATCATATAATTCATAATGAATTCGTGGTTTTGATTCTGCAAACTGTGTCTATAATCAGTATATTCATGGTTTGCATGCACTTTGACGTACACAAAGGCTACATTCGCGTATCCCGATTGAAACGGTACGTGTGACGCAGAAATATTCCACGATAAACGAACGCACTTGGACCGTTCTATAAGCAGAGCTAAAAATGCAGTTTTGGAGAACAAAAAACAATGTATCAAGAATATTATGCCCTTCTCTCACGCGTCCACTGAATTACATAACGTATCTTAAAAACTACATGTGGCTTGACCTTGTTTTAGTTTCGGCCAAGTAAGTCTGGACCCCTCAATCTACACCTGCCAAACTTTCCTGAGGTCAGCCTCGGTTCAGATCTGTACCTGTCGTTTTCTTTACAGGTTCAACCGTTTCAACCAGATACACGAATGTACCTATAGTTTAACAAAATTGGTTTTTTGTATGAAACATTTTACTTTACAGCATCAGCTAATCACTTCTGGCATGTGTTTTCTCATTAACCCTTTCACCCCTATGTAACTTTAGTAGACTCTACTGTGGATGAGTCCATTATGATCTACAGTGGGGAAAGGGTTAATGTGCAGATTTAGATTGATAACCAGATTAACCAAATTCAACAAAGTATATTACTTTACCCGACATACTTTGTTTAGAGATTGCTACCTATATGTATTCTGTGAGCTGAGAGATGTGCTTGTTTTGTTGATAGGGAGTAAACTACAAAGTAGGGAAGTTCCCTCTGGCAGCTAACAGCCGAGCAAAGACAAATGATGATGCTGATGGTCTTGTGAAGGTCGTTGCCGACAAGGAAACCGACAGACTGCTGGGCGTTCACTTTATAGGATCTGTAAGTGTTTTCAGTAGTACTTTGAGTCAAATACTAATGTGTAGAACAAATCCTTATGAATAAAGTTGTGTTTTCACTGAGAGGTCAGATGGTTCCTCAAAAAGGCACCATCTCAATTTCTATTTGGGGGTCATGGCCACTGTCTTGGAAACTGATGCTACATTAAGACCCATTTCGCGTGTGTAACATTGTAACATTTCGGGTATAAATCCTGACAGACCTGCAAATGCTTATGCAGGCCTTGCATGGCTTTGAATTTTTCAAGGCTCGCCTGAAAGTAGCATCAGATTACTAGGTCCGACCTTATTTCATAAGTGAACAACCATTTGGATAGCGATAAACAAAGGCCGCCTTAGTCTGTTACATTCCATATCACAACAATTTAACTGGAAACTTAACGTTTATGTTCGTGCTATTCCATGTAAAACTATATTACATGGACCCCCAAAGCATCTCATATTTATAGACTCAAAAAAGAAAAGAGAATTTCATTTGTAAAATGTATGCAGTCAAGTTTGTTTTATCTATATTGTTCTTGATCATGTAACCTGCCCTTTGTCTTAAATCACCCACCTACCATTGAATGAGTTTTATTCTGCCATCTATACTACCAGTAACAGTTGCAGATATTTCCAACTGGAATAGTCTTTACTCTGGAATAGCCCTATTCCGTCTTTTCGTATTGCAGAGTTATCTGCTCTTTTTAGCAGGTATTGATTGTTTGTTTGTGAGAGTAACGTCATCAATTTTTGAGAAAACGACGTAATTTTCTCACACAAACCAATGACCTCAATACCTGCTCACAAGAGAAGATAACTCTGCAATAGGCAAAGACGAAATAATTATGGAACTGTTGTTCACTTATTATGTACTGTATTGTAGGTTGCTGGAGAACTTATTAATGAGGCTGTGTTAGCTATGGAGTATGGAGCTTCATGCGAGGACATTGCACGAGTCTGCCACGCCCATCCAGTAAGTAGTCGAATATAAATCATGTCATCCTGATCACTCAGTTATTGTCACAAGCATTCAAAGGTCATCAGAGGATGCTTTTATATCATCTACACTTCCATTTTTATATTAACACCCTAGTAATTGTGTTTTATTTTTGTCTTCACAATAGATATCTTAAACATTTAGATAACATAATATTTTACAGTTTATGTATAGGATAATTAATAAAAAAATAACATAATGATCTCCCCTAAAAATGTGTAACATAATGGTAATTATCTCCTCTTACTTTACAGACAGTCGCCGAAGCTTTAAGTAACATAAAATTTTACAGTTTAAGTAACCCATCCATATAGCATAAGTAATAAAAAATAACATAATTATCTCCCCTATAAATGGTAACATCATGGTAATTATCTCCCCTTACTTTACAGACGGTCGCCGAAGCTTTAAGTAACATACAATTTTACAGTTATGTAACCCATCCATATAGCATAATTAATAAAAAATAACATAATTATCTCCCCTATAAATGTATAACATCATGGTAATTATCTCCCCTTACTTTACATACGGTCGCCAAAGCTTTAAGTAACATAACATTATACAGTTTATGTAACCCATCCATATAGGATAATTAATAAAAAATAACATAATGATCTCCCCTATAAATGTGTAACATCATGGTAATTATCTCCCCTTATTTTACAGACAGTCGCCGAAGCTTTAAGTAACATACAATTTTACAGTTATGTAACCCATCCATATAGCATAATTAATAAAAAATAACATAATTATCTCCCCTATAAATGTGTAACATCATGGTAAATATCTCCCCTTACTTTACAGACGGTCGCCGAAGCTTTAAGGGAAGCTAACTTAGCAGCATATGCAGGAAAGGCCATCAACTTCTAAGCAGCGAGAGCATTTTTAAAAAGTAGTGAATGGTGAATGAATCTGTGATCTTGGAAATGCTGTTTACTATGAAGATACGACAGCTGTTTGGTGTTGCTTGTGAAACTAACATTATAACTCTTATGTTAGTACTGTATTCAAGCACAGATATTGACATGCAGCCTTTAGAATCATCCCAGTCATTGGATGCAGTTGACTATAAAGCAACGTCCTAACTGTATCTCCAGTCGTATTTATTTCCATGTTGAGTGGAACATTTAAGTTCATGCATGCGACACTTGCAGCATATCCAACATTTTCAAAACTGGAAAATTAGTTTCTCTAATAGTTCTTACTGGTAATGAAGCCGACATATGTAAAATTTAAAATCCAAGACCTTCATAACACATTGCAAAACTGATCTGTCTGTAACAGAAGAAATGGTCATGTTCAGCTTCAAAGTAAGCTCCAGAGATCTGTGTTCAAGTGAACTTTATATTGCAGGGGGGTTGGCTAAAAGTATATCAAAGATCTGACACGCTAGTGTTAACCAGGTAATAGTGCTGACCGTGGAGGTATGAGTGATCTATCCTAAGTTATATTTAGTCTGTACAAAGTTGTCCGAATTCACTGTACAGGTTTATGTTTATGTGTAATATGTAAAAAGACAAGAAATTAAATAATATTGATTTTAACTGTTATTTGTTGACTCTTCATTACTGATGAAAAGTAGTCATTTTTGAGAAATGCTATTCGTAAATCACTCTCTTTTGGTGTGTACTTTATTTCTGGGACTATGCCTATTCTGAAGATGACTTGAATTCAGAAATGAAAGGCCTATTTTAATATTAAAAGTACTTTTTTTTTGTAATTAACTTATACATGTATATGAACTAAGTGGAATTAATATAAACCAAAAATATGAAAATTGCAAAGGAGTGTCATCATGATATAATGCAAAAATCACTATCTCATAAAAATGAAGTGATTGACAGTGTATGAATGAAAAAAAATCACATTTTTAAAACATTGTAAATGTGCATAGTCGGGCTTTAATAACTCATTCACCCCACATCTGTAAACTGGATTTGTCCAGTCTTTGATTTGGTATTAAAGGTTCAAATGTGACTGTAGGGGTGAATGGGTTAATCCATCCGTCACCTATCTCTTTGTCCGACTATCCAAGTTTTCTTTTTTTCCTATCAAAATTCTCCCAGTAATCCACCTGTATGAAAACAAGCCACTTAAGCTGGGTAAACACTGTCAGACTATTGCACAACATCACAACAATAGGTGTTACAAGTCATGCTCATGAGTTAGTGTACATGTAGGTATACGTTATGAACCAGTGTGTGTAAATCAATACTGTCTCAATGCAGATACTAATATTCTGTGTGGGCACCAATGACTTGAGTTGCATTCCAAAAAATAACATCACATGTAGAATTTGACTTTAATTATTTTATTTTAGTTCATTATAAAAAATAAATATCATTGTAGCAATTATAGGCAATCAATCTTCTGGTCAATATTGTTAAAACATTTAATGGCACTTAACACAAATCTTCACTGAATGGCTGCACATTCAAAAATCACCACATTTTAGTTTAACCATCTCTCTGGGTTAAGCAAATTAAACCTTTACAGATTTATAATAATTTATTGGCAAATTGTCAGCTTAAAACGACACAATGTACTACTTCTTATACAATTTAGTTCTATCACAAATATAACTTAAACACATAACAATGGATAGGGAAAGCTAGTCTAGACCAACCAATCACAAATAACTATAATATATATCGCATTCATTTATTAATTTATTCATTTCAGGACCCCCGTACTACTTTAAAAAACTGGAAATATTGTAAACTGTTTTTCCTGGCATGACTATAGCTTTGATAAATCATTTCTGAAAAGATAACCATACTTTGCGGAACTTTTAACGAAATGAAACAAACAACAGCGATCTGAGCGAAAAATATTCAGCTGTGCTAGACTAGACTCGAACACTGGACTTCAGATTGTTATACATTTGCTCTATCCAGTTAAGCTACCCGGTCAACAAGTGTCCAGAGTCCCAGCTGTGCTACTGGTATATCTAAACGGAAGATGAAGGGAGGTTACTGTATATAGGAAAAAACAGCGCAATGGGACAGGGATCCTTATGGCTATTTTTGTTCAAGCTCATATATTTCAGAATTCATATTGTATGCAGCAAATCAAAAACATTACAATTTCTAAAGTTATCATCAGGGCTCATCAATACAACAATAAATGTAAATGACTCTGTGAAACGAATACAATATAATAAGTGCAATGTACTTTTACATTGATCGGCGATTCTCTGGCATAGGAATTTGGCTAAACTTTTTTTGTTAACGGTTACCTATTTAATAATACTTTTCACATAAACTCACATAACAACACATTATGTATCTTTTATTAATGTTTGACATAAATAAATTTGTTGACCGTCATTTGTCTTAGAGTTCCGTGTATAATAAATAAGGGAAATAATCCAAGATGGCGATCTCCCAGAATGGTCGATCTTTTCCTGAAAAAAACTTGAAATTTTCTATACCTGTGTATTTTACGCACCCCCCACTTTGGGTATTAAATTTCTGAAAAAAAAGTGCGCAAATTACATGGGTTTTTACGGTAGATCAAAAACACGATAAAAATGCATCTGCATAACAAAATTCTGATGATGACATTCTTACTATTTATCAAATCAGTATTTCTTTTATCACTTTTAATATATAGGCACCTGTCAAACATTCATCAAAGAATCCAACAATATAGGAGGCACTGAAGTAGGACGCCGGGCTTGTGACCGAAGGGTTGCGAGTTCGAATCACGGCACAGCACTGTATCTTTGAGCAAGATACTTTACTCCTCTTGTTCTAGTCTACTCAGCTGTAAATGAGTACGTGGTTGGGCAGTGCTATAATTGTTGAATGCTAGCTGTGAGCGCCAAAATGTCAGCACCGGCTGTATGCTTCCCAGGGAGTTGGGAAAGATATTGGCTGGGTGCAAAGGCCCCATAACCATGGATAATAATTTTTGAACCGCTTTATGACAACCTACAAACTAGGTTGTGATTAAGCGGTATATAAGAACCTCGAATTATTATTATCAATATTATTAATATTCTGTGCCCTTTGTTCTTTTTCACACTAAACTGATCAGCCAGTTTGGTGTGAAAATAACCAAAAGTATTATTTGTCAAAGTAGAAAATATCAATTTCATTGATAATAAATGTAGTAAATGCTGTTAAATGAAATGTCCTGAAAAGTTTTCCCACCTATTAGATGAGAAAATTGACATTGACCAGACATCTTACCATTTCTACAGTAATTAGAATTTCTACATACTGAATAAATTTACTATAGCAAGGTTTGATTGTCTTGTGATAAGTCAACAGTTATACATACAACGCAACAATTATTAATCTATGTAGAATAATACAGGATAAGACAAACATTTTTTTTTTGGCGTATGAAACAGACAAATATTGTGATGATTTTGATCGCTATTTACGTTGACCTCGGTGCTTCGAAGTTCAGGGTGTTACACAACAAACTTTTCTAGTCAGTTCTGATGAATTAATTTATAAAATTTCATATATTTTTTTTAAAGACTCCACCATTCCAAAGTTATAGCTTTAACAAGCATTTGAATGATTTGAACTTTGAATTCTTGCTTTGACCTTGACCTTTTGACATGAACATGAGAGGGATGTGCCACATATTTGTAATTGCCAAGACATGTATAAAGATGACTTGACCTTTGACACCTACCAGTAAATGTACTTTTGAACTTGACCAAGGGGTTAATGACCTTGATCAAGGGGTTAATGACTTTGACAGTTCTATACATTATCCATTTATCTGGGCCACTTTCTCGTATCTGGTTCAGTGTTTCAACCAGCTGAACTTGAAATGAAATTGACTGACTCAGATCCGTGCCATGCAAGGGTGACTTCAGGATATTTTGGCACATGCATATCGTGGGGTCCAAATGTGCCTGACCAAAACTAAAAATACATACTACTGCGAGTGTGAATTTATTCACAAACAAGGTCAATTCACGTGTATATATCATGAATTGTAGTAAAATTAAGAGCATGCATGTTAGAAGGACATACTATTCTTGATATATTGTTAGATTTATTTGTCACAAGTCTTCGAAACTGTGCAGTTTTAGCTCTGCCTAAAACTTTGGCACAGTTTTGGTCCAGTTACGTTAATTTATCACAGAATCTTTCCACGCCACCTGAACTATTTATATTGGATATGAGAAAGAAGCCTAGGTCTCATTTGATCAAACATTAATGCCCTTACAAACAATCAGGATGGACGGACATGGAGCAAGTCAATATACCTAGTCCTTTCTATTCCAATATATAGTTGGGAACAACCAAACTGGCCAGATCTCTGCACATAACAACACATGGACAAGCTGTCCCCTTACAATGCCTTGTAAAAGTAATGGACAAGCTGTCCCCTTACAATGCCTTGTAAAAGTACACAACCATAAACAACTATATATATTACAATGTACTGAAATGGTTTGAAACAATAAATTAATATGATTATAATTCCATAAAAGAAATTAATGTTCTCTAATTCCTGTGCGTAAATGACAGAACTGTCTAGGGTTAAAAAAAAGAATGTAAGAAATTTCTTCCCTATTCCTATTTCACTATAAATGTGTAATGTCACATTGTGAAAACAATGACATGATGTCACAAAATCAGGAACATTCTGATACCACAGTTCAGAAAAAGTGTAATGCCTTTTGTCATTTCTGAGCCAATTCTGGTGAATGGAGTTTACAGAAAAATATTTGTCATGCCCGAGGATGTAGGACTTGGTCAATTATAAAACTGATGACACGTACATGATGGTACGCAAGAGGACAGACATCGATTATGGTCGGGTCATCTGATTAATCAGGTATACTAATCAAGGTTTTTTCGAAAGTGATTACGGACATTATAAGTCGCAAATAAAATGTGAAAGGTAGCACACATCCTTAATACACATGTACATATGCATCATAATTTAACTCTTGTATATCCATATATAATGTGAACCAAATATCAGTCCTATAGACAAAATAGGACCAATTTTCATAAAAAAAATATCTAAAATATCTAAATGATAATGATAATATACAAATAAAAAAACTAAAATCCAGTAACGAACTTGATTTGCAAGAAATAATTTTTCAAGCAGATATTTTCATGTTTTGGCACAATTATTACAATTAGTATTGTTATGTTTTAAATTTCTGAAGTCAATACATACTTTTCATACCTTTTATACAACGGTTCAAAATGCAGTATATAACCATGCATGGCAATTAGGCAAAGCATAGAAATGCCTGCACTCAATTGGCAAAATCTGAGTCAATATCTTCTGACATTTCAGATTTTTTTTAAATACATTACAACTTTGTTGTAACTTTAAGAAAGATGTTCATTATCCACAACAACAACAAAACCTTGCTCAATCTACGTGGGAGCGGTTTTGTTCCTTCTGTAACTTAATTTTTGATGTTGGTTTGGAAAACTTGAAATTGTCCATTACCATGTATACCTTCCTTACATCTGATGCTTATAGAATATGTGTACATTCTATATGATGATCTTGTGAATTTCAAAGTTTCAAATACAATAAGATATGAATGGATTGTGTAACACTTACAATTTATGAGAATTTTTTTATCTTAAAAAAGTTGCAAAGAACAAGATTTAAAAGAAAAATAGGAGGGTAAAAATATCTGTTATATTCTAGATCAAAGACAACTTTCAAGAGATGGGGGAACAATATACATGCATGTATGTATACAACCATAAATTCAATGTTATTATGATTTATATCACATCATGTAAACACATGAAGCAATCCATTTATTCAAGGGATAAATAAAATTATTTAATCCTAGAATGTTAAATAATCACTGCAGAAAGGACTTTCATGGTGAACTAGAAAGACCTGCATCTCTGCTTCGTCGGAAACCCACGCTCGATTGTACTAGTGTTTATCGATAAACGCTAGTACAATCGAACGAGGGTTTCTGATGATGGTATCATCTATAGAGGCATGATGCATATACCGTATCTGTGAAACAAGCCTTAACGATCACCTGTCTATAATGACTTCCTGTCCATAAAGACCACCTGCCAATACAGTCCACCTAGAGATAACAACCATAATGAAAATACCCTGAACTTTGATTTATAGGTAATACCAACCTGTTTATCATGTCCACCTGTCTATATATATATACTAATTTTGATTTTTCACTGTGGCAGTCTTATCAGGCAGGTTTGGCTGTGTAATTACAATAGAAATATATACACCAAATTAATTTTAAGTCAAAACCTTTTTTAATTATTCAAACCGGCATAGTTTAGTTTGTTTCAAATGTTGAAAACACAGACATTTTTGAGACAATAACAGTAGAAAACATAGATGACTCTGAACTTAGGTACAGGGGAGTACAATTTTAATAGCCCGACACATGGGGCTAGTAGACTTTATGTCAGGACTAGTACAAATAGGAAATCATACACCCCAGAGGTGAAAATGACTACAATGATAAAAGCTACATTCAAACAAAGCATTCACTTTCACTGGGTTCGGCACGTTTCTGTTGCCACAACTGGCTAGAGTTCGGGGAAAGGTTTCTACAGCTAGCAAACAAATGATCCACATTGTCATTCTGCTGTTTATAGGCCGACTCCTGATCGACACAGTGTTGAAAGATCACTTCTGATTGGATACAACCGTCCGAATTAGATACCACTTCCTGTTGGTTATTGTGGAGCACTTCCAGATGACCTTGACCAGCTGGTTCAGAATTGCTTTCCTGTGTGGGAATAGCATGTTCCGTTGTGTAATCGTTATTATTTTCGACAGACAAGTCTGGTTCGTCTGTCACTTGGCCGGATTCTTGTACACTTCCCATGCCTTCTTCGCTCACCACACCTTCGTAGAACGCTATTTTCTGCTGATGTTGGTGTATCAGTGTTACAGCTTCCTGGTTCTGCTGACTCATACTAACTGGAATGCTGCTGTTCTCTGTCAGTGTGGATTCCTTGTCCAGACTTTCCATGTTTTCCATTGCACCAAATTCATTTTCTTGATATTGTGGGTCACCAGTCGGAACCATGGTTATGGAATCATCTGAACACTCATCATTATACCCACCATTCTCAGTCACAGCCTCCAAGTAAGAGCCAAAGAAAATGTCACGTTTTGATTTCAGAATTTCGTTTTCCTCTGGATCAGATGTCCTCAAAAGAATCTTTCTTTCTGCCTCACGTTTCTTTGCCTCATTCATGTCCTCACACTCATATTCTTGTTGGATACTAAGATCAGCAACTCTATCTTCCAGAGATTCTGTTGTCTGGCTATCTTGTCTAAGGATGGGTAAGTCATTAAAATGGTTCTCCAGTTCCTCCAGACCAAGGTACACCTGTAAAATTGATCCAATATAGTTGTAATTATACCCTCATACCGGTACCTACACTGTATAAATTAAGCAATGAATAATGAAGCATGTTGAAGCCCCCTACAACTTTAAACTCATTCACCTGAGGACAAATTTTGAACTCTTTAAATTCAAAGGTTGAAATAGTTGATAATAAGACTTCAGGAGTGAATGAGTGAAGTTATCTATTATACCCTACTTCGTAAAGTCTAGTACAGTTTTGATTTATGACAGTAATGTATAACAACTTTGTTAAAATTTATATAGTTTTTCATATAATGTACATATGGAGGATACTGGGAATTCTACCAGAAGGTGTAGATTTCCCCATATTTCTCCCTCTTTCCCATCAATTTATTGAAAATCAATAATGACACTGAGAATACAATAAAACTTAGATAATTATTGATTTTTTAATACCCAACAAGTTAACCAAGAACATGTTAAGAAAGAGCAGGACAAAATAAACTTAAAACTTCACAGCAAGCTTGTTTTACGATTGTTAATCACCATGAAGCAATGTGAGATGCCATTGCATTTTGGCAGTGGATATTCTTTGTTGACCAAAATTACCTTAATGACATCACAAATCTCCTCAAAATAATGTCACAGTTCTGGTTTCAGAACATCAGTCGATAAAGTGCTGAAAATTTTGAACTCATTTTTTTCTTCTCTCAAAACAGTCTCAAGTCAGAATTTAGAGAAAATCTAGTTCCAGAACAGGGAACTGGATGCACCTAGGTGGGATAGAGTTATTCCACATGTGTGTCCCACATGTGTGTTCTGCATGTCTAATGCATACAGACGTTGGAGAAAGTAAGTAAAATCTAAAACAAACTTTTGAGTTATGATAGTAACTAAAATGTACTTCAAGTTTTCTTTATTGCATCTTCCTCCTAGGAGGGGACTATTTTTTAACAAAAGAATTTTCCAGTATTCTGGTACACAATAGTATAACTGGGTTAGACTGGAACAAAGTGTTCAAGAGCACAACAACAGAAGTGAATTCCTGTCAGCAGGATTGTTCACGAAATTTCAAAATGAACTACTTCAGCATTTGAATTGGAAGAGTTCAAATGCGTCTTAAGAGGTGAATAAGTTAAACATGACTTGATGGCCAGTAGGCAGTCATCCTGCAGACAGAGATATCTCCTTATTTACGGTTATGAATACATGTATAATCAAAATTCCTCATACAGACAGAGATATCTCCTTATTTACGGTTATGAATACATGTATAATTAAAATTCCTCCTGCAGACAGAGATATCTGCTTATTTTAGCTTATGAATACATGTATAATCACAATTCCTCCTACAGACAGGGATATCTCCTTATTTTCGGCTACAAATACATGTATAATCACAATTCCTCCTACAGAAAGAGATATCTCCTTATTTTCGGCTACAAATACATGTATAATCACAATTCCTCCTACAGACAGAGATATCTGCTTATTTTAGCTTATGAATACATGTATCATCAAAATTCCTCCTACAGACAGAGATATCTCCTTATTTTCGGTTATGAATACATGTATAATCAAAATTCCTAAGTTCAGAACAACAAAGGCCAACTTTAAATGATTAAGATTTAAATTGTACATGTGAATTAATCTGTGTTGGTATTGGTTCAAAAGGTGTACAAACTTTGGGAGATCGGTTTCTACATCGAACATTTGAATTATTTACTTTAATTGTTCAAAATTCAAAATATCTCAAAAGCTTTTCTTATTAATGAAATAATGACTCCCAAATTCTTAGTTACAGTTTTATTCTTTTTGATAGCAATATTATCATTTATTTTGATTCTCCTTTTGTCCAATGATTCTGATCTTTTACTTTTGTATCGAATAAACAATTTTCTTAAATAAGATGATGCAGCCTTACCTTGACCATATCAGGCCTATCCTTTTTCTTTTTCTGCGTACATTGAAGAGCAATGTGGAAAAGCTTGTTGTAGACATCATCCGAGCACATACCCGCTTTACTGTCACGGAGATCTTCGTACCGTGTCTGACTCGCTTCCAGGTACTCGGTCACATATCGCTCCTGTATTTACAACAGAAACAATGAGCCTCATCTAGTTAGTAAAAACACATTAACAATTACAGAAAATAGCCTTTTATCTATTACCTCGGTGGAAATTCAGTAATAATGATTTACCTACACAACATATGATCACAGAGTGATGGGAAAAAATCGGAACAGATCATGTTTGAAAGTTTAAAATCATACATAGCAATAACATGTATCTATTGATTAATGTCAATGGTTGGTTATTTTGAGGAGATTAATAAAATCCATATAGAGAAGAACTCTGTCATACAGGGAAGAGTTTTGTCGCGCAGGTAATGTTTATAACGTACCAGATATTTGGCGTCGCCACCTTCTCGTTTCTCATCATACGCTTGTTCTCCTGTACACACTTCCAGCATCACCTGGTAAAAATGAAAAAGTTTACTCTCAAAAAATCTACTGTGATTTACATATCAGGGCATATTCGTATATACAACTGGCAAATACTAAGACGCACCCAATACATGCCCTGTTTTTATATACAACTGGCAAATATTAAGAAGTACCTTGTACATTGTACCCTGTCTAAGCAGAATGTTGTATATTACAGAAACCTGGATAAACAGACCTTCATCTACATCTCATTGTAATTTACTGTGAAAACCCTGTATAATCTGGACACCTGTATAAACCAGACAGTCAACTTAAGAGCCCAGGTTGGTTAGATGGCTCAGTAGATTAGCGCACTCGCACTTCAACAAGACGCCGGGGTTCATTTTCCCGACCGGATGTGAAAAAGTATGGGGTCACCTGCTCGACCAAATGGATTTTCTCCAGCTGGTACTCCAGTTTTCTCCCACATTAAAACCCCCTGCGTGCTTCCATCCGCGTCAACAAGAGTGATCAATAATGTAAGTTGATAGAACTTGTTTTGTAATTGTTGTAAAACGAAGAAAATTTAATTTTAAAACTAGAACCCACTGTATAAACATTTATGTAACCCTGTATAACCTGGACACCTGTGTGTGTAGAATAATGCAGTATTATTTTTGCTTGGGGTCGATAACATGAATTTATTTTGATGAAATATTTTATTTTTAAGAATTTGTTTCTATGAACATTATCCCTTGGATTAAATGAGAGTGAAAATATGTTCCATATGAAATTAAATCATGCCAGGCCATGGTCTCTCTTGGTACAGTATAAAAATAATCTTAAAGCTATAAAAAAAAAAAAAATCTAGCAAATGAAGGTGTAATATTATTTGGATGACTTTAAGAACTACAAAATCTATGTGACGTACCACTCCATACGAGAATGTGTCTCCCTTGATAGACATTTGTGAGCCCCTCTGGGCCTCCGGAGGCATATAGGCCTTGCTGGTGTACTCCTTTGTGCCCATCTGTTGTTTGGTGATGTGAGTGAGTGCCCCAGTTGTGGACCCCTTCTGGGCATGCTTGGCCATCCCCAGGTCAGAAATCTTGGCCTCCAAATGTTTATCCAGAAGTATGTTGGCACTGAAATGAAACATTTAAGGTCTCAAACAAGCAAATATTTTGCAAATTACACAATGTCTCAAACAACCAGATCTTAAACGACCGGTATGTAAATTACACATTAACTCATTCACCCCTGGAGACTCATTTGAACTCTTCCAATTCAAAGGTCGGAATAGTACATTATGAAATTTCAGGGGTGAATAAGTAAAAGGTCTCAAACAACCAAATTTTAGTATGTTGGACTATCAAGAGTAGTCTCTCAAGCTGCTTACTTTTGTTCTTGATTTCTTTTTGCTTTCTTATTTGCTCCTGAGAGGCCTATTTTCTTGAAAAATACATGTCCTTAGCAAGAAAAACTTTCCTCAATAACGTAAATAATATATGACATTTATGTTCTTGTACAAACACCTTTTTTTTAAATCAAGAAAATGGATCTCACATGTGATCTAAGAGATACGAGGAAGCAACATATATTTCATCATAATAAACTACGTATGTCGGCATATATAAGGATGATTTATAGAAGGAGTTAGTTTTGCATGAAACATTAAAAACCTGTTGTTAGTTGATTTTAAAAAGTGAGTTCAAAAGCAACTACATGAAGTATATGATCATGAAACAGATGTTTTTGCATCATAAATCTGAAAAAATAATTTTCCTCAGAAGTTTAATAATTAATAATTTAATAATTCAGAAACAAAACAATTGGAGAAAAAAATTCCTGTCAATATCATTCAGCAAGTGTGCTATCTAAATTGTTTTTTTGATTTATGGCAAATTCATGTATAAGGAATTTACCTTTTGATGTCACCGTGGATGAGTGGTGCCGCGCCCAGAGTGTGTAAATACTGGAGACCACAAGCAGCGGCTCGTGTGATTTGCAGTCTCTCCTGCCACGTCAACGGTCGTGTCCCGGACTGAAAACAACAAGACCTAATCAACATTTGGAAACCCAGTGAGTTTTACTTTAACCCTTTCACCACTGTAGACCATGACTCACCCACATAAATGTATGGAAGAGTCTACTATAAAGATACCTACGGGTGAAGGCGTTAAAAGAACAACTCCGTAAATCAACTATCAACACTTGGTAAATTCTGTACTGTACAATTACAAACTTCTGATCAGGTGAATATGTGGTTTTATAAAGCAGAGAAAAGCAATTATCTATACCGGTACTTATTGAAATCGAAGTTTCTGTCACCAACTTTTTGCCTCCAGAAATTTAAAGCACTCATTCGTTGAAACCTTAATATTGATACATATATATATGGTAAACAACAGAATCATTATCTTTAATGAACTTTCCTTGAAAATCAACAAGACATGAAAATATTATATATTAATTTTATGACATATTGGTACAGAAAACAAAATGTTTTTGAATTCCTAGGCTGCTAAATTTTCAAACATCAATACAACACTACCGTATACCAGGCAACTTTCGCCCAGTCAAGTATTCAGCGATTTTCTGATAAAATCCATGTTCGCCCAGTGATAATTTCACCCTTTATATATAGTTACTTTTATATCGATATTGTGAACTAATATTTGGTGTCATTATAAATTCCCCATCATTGGGGAGGGCGAAACATGCGAAAGTTAAAACTGCGGCAAAATCTTCCCAGAATACAGTATCATGTCTGCATTACCTTGCAGCTAAGTCTGTCCTCAAGTGACCCATTAGGCATGAACTGGTAGACAAGGCAGACATCCGATCCCTCTAGTGTATACCCGTACAGAGCTACAATGTTCTCGTGTCGGTATCTACAAAGTAGGACATTATAATACTGATGTAGTTATCCAGTTAAAAAAAATGCCTGGTAATAAGACGATACAAATCTACTCAATTTAAGAAGAAATGCAAAAAAAAGTCTATTTCGTTGTCCTGTTATGAGCCTGTCTCCCCACATTGAGTAAGAGATAACGTGTTGGGCCCAGCTGGGCTTATTGGAGAATAAGTATGGTATTTCCCTTCATGATTAAATGTTGGCATATTATCAAACCTGAAAATATGTCGATACGTATGAGAAATCTTCCTTTTAAAACATTTTGTGTTTCTGAAATATTTACCAGAAGATCTGCAGATTAATATCATTATTTTGTAGTACATGTACTTCAAATGTGTATTTGCGGGAGATATTGATTGAAAATATAGTGTTGACGTTTTTAACCCACAGAAGTGCTGACCTACCGAATCAGTGCCTTTAGCTCGGTTTTCAGATGACTCTGTGATTCCTGGTCCCCTTCTGATCCCTGCACACAAACACACTTATGTTATCAGGTTTTGCCAATATATTATGTAAACTATGTAATATATTATCTTCATTTTTTTCCATGCCATCAAAATATCTTCGGAAACTTTTGATTTATGAAATTTAGTACAGGAACTCGTATCACGAACATAAAAATGAGGAATAATATAATTCTGCAAATTACAATTTTTTGCTTAATTCTACAAACTATAGACCCAATTACAAACAAGTGTACAACATACAAATAACAAATGAAAGGTTTATACCCCCTGATCGCTTCCTGCTTACCATCAGGTACCTTTAATTGTCACTGAGTTTGAAATACAATGAAACTTGACTCTTACCGACATGTGAATTTACTGTATATATTTTCTATGTATTCAAACCGTGCTTTACCGACAAACAGATATATGTGTTTCTTGATAATGTTTCAGTCAGGATTCACTATAGAGTGTTTCTTGATGTCAGTGAAGTCAGGATTCACTGTAGAGTGTTTCTTGATGTCAGTGAAGTCGGGATTCACTGTAGAGTGTTTCTTGATGTCAGTGAGGTCGGGATTCACTGTCGAGTGTTTCTTGATGTCAGTGAAGTCAGGATTCACTGTAGAGTGTTTCTTGATGTCAGTGAGGTCGGGATTCACTGTCGAGTGTTTCTTGATGTCAGTGAAGTCAGGATTCACTGTAGAGTGTTTCTTGATGTCAGTGAGGTCAGGAATCACTGTCGAGTGTTTCTTGATGTCAGTGAAGTCAGGAATCACAAAATCACACAAGAACTTTTACAAGCACTTTCTCCAACTTTGAAAACATAACAATGAGGGACATGCTTAATTACAACTGGAAATTGAGCGTACTAGTTTGTTAACAGTAACTGTAATTGAAGTACTTACAGAGAAGAGTCGTTTGATGGCACATTGCGAGTTTTTGAGTCTGCCTTTGAAGACTTCGCCAAAACCGCCTTGCCCAAGCTTGCACTGATCATTAAACCCGTTGGTGGCCTGGTTTATTTCTTTGTACGTGAAGCTTGGTGTGTTAATGATTGCCATGGCAGTATCTGCATCACAGCTCCCATCCTGGTTCAGGGTAGACAAGCCCTCATGACTCTTGACTCGATCCATTAAGTCGAGGCTCATGGAGGGCTCCCCCATGTTGCCTTTGCTTTCCTCTGCTGGCCCCTCCGACCGAATCTCGTTCTCCTGCACTGAGCACATAGATTTGTCTCCCTTTCCACTTACCGACAGGAATCCCATCAAACTTTTCTGTTAAAAATAATTCAGAAGGTATTGTGCAGAAACATTTTTTTTTAGCAACAACCAACCATTTAAACCACAGTATGCCAATTAAATATGCACAGATTTTGCTCGTCATCAAATATGGTTTTAGCATTATCCTATTTACCCGAAAAATGTTAGTTATACTAATCACAAACGATACAAAATTAACAACACATTCTTTCGTTAGCAGGAACAAACCATAGTTCAGCGAGTCCTGTATTTATAAACTAGAACAAGGATCCCCCTTTTGCCCTGTGGCTGACCTATAAATAACAACAGTGACCTTGATGTTGACCTTGGGACCCTGATATTCAAATGCCTCTAACTGACCTTTTTTAAACTTTGATTTCCTTAGTAGAATTAATAAAAGGAAAAGCCATGCCACTGTTAAAAAAATTTTTTTTTAAGGATTATGTAATGGTAGGTTAACCGATTGATAATCAAAAATCGAACGGTTGACACTAACTGATTATATCCAATCATTGATGTTGATTCTACAGAAGAAGTCGTTTAAAGGTTTTTAAGACAATTGACCCCTGTGACCTTGAATATGGACAAAGGTTATTCATTTGAACAAACTTGGTAGCCCTTCATCCACGCATGCTACTGGCCAAATATCATCACCCTGGAGCTTTTGGTAATTCAGAAGAAGGTGTTTAAAGGTTTTTAAGACAATCGACCCCTGTGACCTTGAATATGAGTGAAGGACATTCATTTGAACAGACTTGATAACCCTTCATCCCAACATTCTTCAGACTAAATATCATCACCCTGGACCCTTTTGTTATACAGAAGTTGTTTAAAGGTTTTTTAAGACAATTGATCCATGTGACCTTAAATATGGGTGAAGGTCATTCATTTGAACAAACTTTGAAGCCCTTCATCCACGCATGCTACTGGCCAAATATCATCACCCTGGAGCTTTTGGTCATTCAGAAGTAGTCGTTTAAACGTTTTTAAGACAATTGACCCCTGTGACCTTGATGTGGGGAAAGGTTGTTCATTTGAACAAACTTAATAACCCTTTATCCCAACATCCTTCTGACCAAATATCATCACCCTAGACCTTTTGGTTATTCAGAAGAAGTTTTTTAAATATTTCAACATATTTGACCCTTGTGACCTTGAATATGTACGAAGGTCATTCATTTGAACAAACTTGTTAGCTCTGTATCCAAATGTGCTACTTGCCAAGTATCAACACCCTAGACCTCTTGGTTATTTAGAAGAAGTTGTTTAAAAGTTTAAACATATTTTACCCCCTTGTGACCTTGAATATGGGCGAAGGTCATTCACTTGAACAAAAATGGTAGTACTTTTACCCCAGCATGTTGTTGACCAAATATCATCATCATGGGCCTTCTGGTTAATCAGAAGAAGTTGTTTTAAGATTTTAACATATTTGACCCCTGTGACCTTGAAAATGGGCAAAGGTCATTCATTGGAACAAATTTGGTAGCTCTTCATCCCAGCATGCTACTGGCCAAATATCATCAGCTTGAGTATTTTGGTTAATTCAGAAGAAGTTGTTTAAAGTAAAAAGTTGACGACGGACGGACGACAGAGCCAGGTGAGCTAACAAGCAAGAGTTACTAATAAGCATGTTTTAAGTGTGTATTTTTACTGTCCATACTTTGCCCTTGTCCTGTCCCGCTGTGACCTTGTTCTGTCCTGGTATGACCTTGTCGTCATAGTTTTTCTCTATAGATGGAATGTGTTTGTCCTCCATCATCTTATTGGACATGAACTTTGACCCCTGTTGTGATTTATCGGGCATGTTGAAGTTAAGGTTGTGGTCTTTGTTGTTCTGCGGGTTCCCAGGAGGGTGTGCCCCAGGTGGACATGGTTTTGGCAATTCTGTAAACAATAAATCCACAAACTATAGAATGAACAAATATATGAAGAATTTATTTTAAATCAATATCTGAATAAACGACAAATCTATGACAGCAATGTAAGGCATAAATCACACCAAGTCTTCACCTGTAAAATGCTTAAAAATTAAAAACAAAATAAAATTTTGTAGATACAGAAAGCTAAACAAGGTAGATAATTTTACTGCACCACATTGTTATTTTGCCCACTTAGGATTCTCATAAAAGTGGACAAAGAGAAAATCAGATTCTTTACCACTCTATAGTGCATTCAGCTTTATGTCATACAATACTGAAACTTTTATCATTCTGATTGTTTAAACCACACATACAGCTCAAGACTAGAAATCATTTCTAGCAAAAGATTTTAGTGATCATATTTTCAATGATGGTATTCAATCAAAATTATATTCTAAATGTTTATGTGCTCTATGAAGCTATGCTAAATGAAATTAATTTCCTTTAGACCTTTAGAGTCTTTATGCCCTCCACTGTTTTCAAACAACCAAACCGTTCAGGAAAACATCTAGTAAAATGTTTTTTTGAGTTTAGGAAAATTGGTTTTCCAAAATTTCTTTAGCATATAAACAAATTAGACACACATTTAACCTTGAATAGGGACCAAGGTTGTTTAGTAAAACTCCATGACGACAGCTACAGGCCATACACGGCCATATAAAAGCTTTCAATTCTTCTTCAGAAGTCGTTTGAGCATCATATTTGACCCCAGTGACTCTGAAAATGAGTCTATACTTACTGGTGGAGTTGAGATCCTTTAACATATCTCTGGGTGATGGAGCTGATCCTCCCACCGCGCCATGATCACCAGAACTGAAACGGTGATATACTGGTCGCACATCACACACCTTCTCACTGCTACTGGTAACTACAACAAACAATTACAGAAAACATCAGACATCTCAGTCTACAACAGACAACATCAGATATCTCAGTCTACAACAGACAACATCAGACATCTCAGTCCACAACAGACAACATCAGACATCTCAGTCTACAACAGATAACATCAGATATCTCAGCCTACAACAGACAACATCAGACATCTCAGTCCACAACAGACAACATCACATATATTAGTCCAAAACAGACAATATCAGATATCTCAGTCTACAACAGACAACATCAGATATCTCAGTCTTCAACAGACAACATCAGATATCTGAGTCTACAACAGACAACATCAGATATATCAGTCTATAACAGACACCATCAGATATCTCAGTCTACAACAGACAACATCAGATATCTCAGTCTACAACAGACAACATCATATATCTCAGTCTACAAAATACACCATCATACATCTTAGTCTACAACAACAAACATTATACATGTATATCTTAGTCAACAACAGACAACAACAAATATCTCAGTCTATAACTGACAACATCATATATCTCAGTCTATAACTGACAACATCATATATCTCAGTCTACAACGTACACCATCATACATCTTAGTCTACAACAACAAACATTATATATCTTAGTCAACAACAGACAACAACAAATATCGTAGTCTACAACAGACAACATCACATATCTCAGTCTATAACTGACAACATCAGATATCTCAGTCTACAACAGACAACATCAGATATCTCAATCCACAACAGACAACATCAGATATCTCGGTCTACAACATCAAATATCTCAATCCACAACAGACAACATCAGATATCTCAGTCTATAACTGACAACATCACATATCTCAGTCTTCAACAGACAACATCACATATCTCAATCTACAACAGACAACATCACATATCTCAGTCTACAACACACAACATCAGATATCTCAGTCTACAACAGACAACATCAGATATCTCAATCCACAACAGACAACATCACACATATTAGTCCAAAACAGACAACATCAGATATCTCAGTCTACAACACACAACATCAGATATCTCAATCCACAACAGACAACATCAGATATCTCAGTCTACAACACACAACATCAGATATCTCAGTCTGTAACAGACAACATCAGATACCTCAATCCACAACAGACAACATCAGATATCTTAGTCTACAACAGACAACATCATATATCTCAGTCTACAACAGACAACATCAGATATCTCAATCCACAACAGACAACATCAGATATCTTAGTCTACAACAGATATATAAGATAGTCAATAACTGACATCACCCAATATCTCAAGGATTAAATGGTTCCAATAAACAGTAGATTATACATGTGCTTTATGATAACCAGTGTCAAAAATGAATGCCTTGTTTTTTACCTTTCATGCGTGTCATCAAAATATCATCCATAAAATAAATTTCATGTTTTTTGAAGTGTGAAACTGTTTTAGAAAGAAGGTAATTTTTACAGTAAAGTGATAAATCTCTTTAAGTCAAAGTGCAGAACATTCTCAGCCACCATATATCAAGTCAAATTTTATACACTTTAACAGGGCACATCCATATGTTCATTTCAAAATGATTGTACATTATTGTCAAAGTGAGACCTACGTTGACAATGCAAATATACTTACAATTCATATTAGTACATGGTATGTCGTTGCCAGGACACTGCCATTACTACATAGCTATAGAACTATCGCATCAAATCATACACAAAGCTAATAGTCCATATCACACGTTATTTAAGATCAACATCCAATATATATGGTTGCCAACTCTCTGCCATGCATCATGTAACCTATGTAAAGAACCTCTGTTACACTATCATTATTACCAGAAGGATTTACCTGTATTGACCTGAGAATTTGATCTATATCACCTGTCCTATATATACGTTAACCTTATGTATTGCTGTCAGGTTTTACGACCGGACCAGTAATTACAGATGTATGTCCTCAAGCCTGACAGGAATTCAACACATCATTAAAAGGTTGTATAAGTTCATCAAAGCCTGATTAGCTTCGTTAAGAAGAAAGGTATATTAACTTTGTACCTGGAACATTTTCAAATATATTAAAATTTACACCTGAAAATTATGCGTATGAGTTATAATTAAAAGGTGAGCTGCAGATACCATTTTCCTAAGCTTAAGTTGGTTTTTTTTTTAATTTTATTTGACACAGGTAATGAAGCGTATGTTAGATTATCATTTTATTTATGAATACCTGTCTGCTGACGACGTTATACTTCTTGTAAAGGACACACATTCTACAACCAGCCAGGAGCCAGCGGCTACATTGTATTATGAATCGACCAATAACAAAAAGCAACGACACGCCTATGAATATAGCTCATGACAAGACTGGCCAATGAATGGCGGATCATCATCAGTTAATTATTTTATTGTCTAAATGATTGTATTTTTATACCGATTAAGTAAACAAACATTAGGGAAGTATTCTAGATACCTGACACAACTACAGAGGCCAGTCATATTGTGATCTTTTATTTTGATGTAAGGCTAGAAGGTCAGCTTTCATTCATCAGCAAGTCCACTAGGGAAGTTCAAACGATTATAGTCATTAGTAAATACACTAGGGAAGTTCAAATAATAACCGGCTACATTCTTAAGGTATATTGATTCATTTCCAGCTCTAGATCTGATCAATGTTGATTTATCACCATGAAGTATTTTTTAATTTACTTACGGGTATTTATCATAGTTTAAGCGAACATGAAGAACTAAATAAGGTATTTCTAAGAAAGACTCATACACTTACTTGTAAATTGATTAGTATGGGAGGTATAGTTTATATATTTTTTTTAAACTACTATCAGGTAACAACACTTCTGTATTTCAACTGAAAGGTATACAGATCTTGCACATAGCAAACGTTTGGTTTTATGTACATCCAGCTTTAAACATTAATGTACGGGTAACAGTAGCGACCCAGTTGTGAGCTTCCAGTATATTCGATTCAGTGGTGACCCTCATCCAGCCCTAAATATAAAGTTATATAGTGGTGACCCTGTGTTAATATTTCTTATATCCAACTTCAAGCATAAAGATATAGAGATGCATTGCCTTGTGCTTTTTTCTCCATCTTCAAACATAGATAAGTCTTTAATAGGATTTAATAGGATATTAGTGGACGCAGGCATTGCTGCCTCTATATCCACATCAATATAATTTGAAATACAATGCGGTAAACATAAAATAAGCCTATACATAAGACGCTGTATGATCCTACTTCAACTCAAGATCTTTCCAGAGTTCATCCAAGTTTTTCACAAAGTCAAATATGTTACAAGATAAAACAATATCTTGTGGGAGACTTTTTCAGATATCAATTATTCTTTGATTAGGTAATTTTTTCCAATTTTTAAATGACAATGTTGTTAGACTTTCTTTTTACTGTGTCCACGAGTTCTTCCTTGTACATATGCACGTAGCTGCTTATATAATTATATTTACTGTATACCAGGTAATCTTCCCTGCAGTTTAATTTTTGCCTTTTCCTCCCTATAAAATGAAGGTGAAACTTATCATTACAGCGAATATAAATAAACAGCAAAATAAAAATGTTAATTAAATGTGAAAGGCCATTTTTAATTACAACAATTAATATTAAAGGACAATGAAATAGCATTTCCTATAATTTCCACTGAACTGAATAGATATGGTTGCTCTAATGATAAATTACTAGGCATTTTTTTTTTGGTCCATGTCATATCAGAGAATTACTAGATGAATTCACAGGCAGGAAGCTAAGATATTGCCAGCAGAAATGATATGATTAGGGTCATACATTGTAAGATGTTGTAGGATCAACCACAGAGAACATATTTGACCCCTATGATCTTGAAAAATTTAAATGGTCAGGAATTTAATCAGATATTTGAAAAGAAAAAGCAACATTTCAGTGTTTGCAGGATCTGGTTCGGTAAAAGGTGTCGTTTGATTTCTTTTTTTAAATATTTAACTCCTGCAACCTTGAAAGTAGGTAAAGGTCTTTCATTCAAACAAGCATAATAGTGCTTCATCTCAAAAAACCGCAGACCAAATATTTACATTTAGACAAAAATGTAGAAACCTATGGGTGAATGAATGACAGATAATGGTCACTCATGATCACTCACAGTACCATGACATAAAACATGCATATTATTATTATTTGTATATATTGTAAAACATTCCTATCAATCAATGCTAAAAAAAGTAAAAAATTCAGCTTTAATATTTACATCTTGTAATTATAATTTCAAATATGCAAAACACAATTGTTAACAACGCCAATGCATTAACATCATTAAATGTTGCTATGGCGCTTTGCTATTGTTGAAAAATGATGCTATGGCGCTTTGCTATTGTTGCACAATGATGCTATGACGCTTTGCTATTGTTGTACAATGTTGCTATGGCACTTTGCTATTGTTGCACAATGTTGCTATGATGCTTTGCTATTGTTGCACAATGATGCTATGACGCTTTGCATTGTTGCACAATGATGCTATGACGCTTTGCTATTGTTGCACAATGTTGCTATGGCGCTTTGCATAATTGTTGCACAGTGATGCTATGGCACTTCGCTATTGTTGCACAATGATGCTATGGCGCTTTGATATTGTTGCACAATGATGCTATGGTGCTTTGCATTGTTGCATAATGATGCTATGATGCTTAGCTATTGTTGCACAATGTTGCTATGGCGCTTTGCTATTGTTGCACAATGATACTATGGTGCTTTGCTATTGTTGTACAATGATGCTATGGCACTTTGCTTTTGTTGCACAATGATGCTATGGCACTTTGCTATTGTTGCACAATGTTGCAATGGCACTTTGCTATTGTTGTACAATGATGCTATGGCGCTTTGCTATTGTTGCACAATGATGCTATGGCACTTTGCTATTGTTGCACAATGTTGCTATGGCGCTTTGCTATTGTTGCACAATGATGCTATGGCGCTTTGCTATTGTTGCACAATGATGCTATGGCGCTTTGCTATTGTTGCACAATGTTGCTATGGTGCTTTGCTATTGTTGCACATTGATGCTATGGCACTTTGCTATTGTTGCACAATGATGCTATGGTTCTTTGCTATTGTTGCACAATGTTGCTATGTCACTTTGCTATTGTTGCACATTGATGCTATGGCGCTTTGCTATTGTTGCACAATGATGCTATGCACTGTATACTGGGGTTTTCACACTTCATAAATGTATGAAAGTTTCTAGTTATCGAGAAAAAAAATTGACACGCTGATCATCAAGAAGTGTTTCTTCTCACGGGACACCTAACAAATTTTAAAAACTTTTGCCAGAGAAAATTAGTTATTTTGAAAAAACAGAAACTTTTGAGATAAATGAAATCCCTGGACTAACAAGGTTATATTTCATTTATAACAAACACAAATAAGATGTACTGAATTACAGTGACTATTGTCAGGTCATTTTATTTTACAATCCACAAACTGGTAATAAATTAATGTACATGATAAACAACAAGAGTAACATAACCAACGGCTAGGTTATGCATTGCAACATTTTTCTAAATAATTCTGTTTTAACAATTAATTTTACATTTCTCTTTTACTAAAATTAAATATCAATCACTTTTAATCCATTGACCCATGCATAATAATTCTATAACACTAAAAACATCATAATACTGTATAAAAACATTCATGATTTTATAGCCTCAGCTGTCGTGTCTGCACAGTAAAAGGCAAAAATATTCTGTGGGTGAAGGGAGACCCTGGAGTCACCCAAAATAACTTTTTTTCTTGGGGTTTACTATAAAAACATTAATTTCTCTACGTCCCATCACCTATAACATCAACTATAAGTGCCCCTCCTCCCCTCCTACAAAATTTAAATTCTTCGTGATAAAAACAAATCCTATACATACCGGTACCATGATCCTGATCATCAGGCACTGTGATATTGTAAATACGCATTATTACAATCACTGGCTATCAATCCCTGCATCTGTATGCCATTTTTTCTTCTTCAAATATTCCACTAGGCAAATTTTCAATAAATATTTCAATTCCAATTCAATATTTGCAGCAATTCCAAGCTGCCTTACTCCACAAACACATATGCAGGAACTGTTTACTTTAAATACCCAAACAGTACAGATATCTGGTTACTGAAGTAGCATCTCTGAAATTATGCGAGGTGTTTTCATGTGGAGAAAAAAATACTCAAGCAAATTGTAAACAGAGCCTACATGGAGGTTTATCGAGGACACTATGGTATTTGGAGCGTGACACACTCTAGCCGCAGCCAGTCCTGACCCAGTGTTGCGTCATACTTCACCACATACATCAATCCTCCTTGCATGCCCTTAAAGTACCGGCCGAGAACCAGCCCATCACATGTACAGGACAAACATTAATTACCTTACACAAACAAACATTTCCAGGACGTTTACCTCTGACCCATAGAAGTGTACTGAATTGGATAGGATTTCCGTACCAATATTACAAGTCATTAGTCAATTTCTAACCAATCCTGATCAACTGTTAATCTGGTAACCAATGAAAATGGGAATTCAAGTACTCTCCTGAGCCCTTCCCTTCCTGGTAAGGAACTGCGAGATAGAATAAAATGCAGTAAGGTGTGGAATGAGACAGAAATTTGAATACGACTTTCTACATCCTGTTGTGGGTGTTGTGGGTATGTGTTTGTACGTGTGTGCGAGCAGTGTGTGGCTATACTAATGTAGTAAATAACGAGTGGCCCACACCTACCAGATGCTTACAGATATTTAACGAGGGCATATTTTACGGGTATATTATCAGGTGACCTAGGCCTATGCACAGGTATTCTGGGTATATATATCAGCTGTTCAGTTCCTTTGAAAAAGGATTATGTAGATTACTTGCACATCTGTCAAACTGTTACCTCTATTAAGCAAATACTTGACTATAAGGACATCTCTGTATAGCTGTATAGGTCATCCACACACACAGCAAAAACCTATCTATAAACATCACCTCTGTATAGCAACTACCTGTATATAAAGACCACTTGATCTATCTCTGTTACTTCTTATAGCAAATACTGTTCAAGAGACCAGGTAAATCCGAATAGTTAATATATATCTCTAAAAATGCCACCACAAATACTAGTAGCTGTTTATAAGGTCACATATGTCTATAAAATATCTGCTTATAAAGACCAGTGATGTATAACAGATACCTGTCTATACAGACCAGCACTGTTTAATAATTAGTGTCAATACAGACCTAGTACTGTATAACAAATACCTGTCTATACAGACCAGCACTGTATAACAAGTACCTGTTTACACAGACCAGTACTGTATCACAAATACCTGTCTATAGAGACCAGCACTGTATAACAAATTCCTGTCCAACAGACCAGCACGTTATAACAAATACCTGTTTATACAGACCAGTACTGTGTAACAAATACCTGTCTACACAGACCCGCACTGTATAACAAATATGTGTCTACACAGACCAGCCCTTTATAACAAATCCCTGTCTACCCAGACCAGCCCTTTATAACAAATCCCTGTCTATAGAGACCAGCACTGTATAAAAAATATCTGTCTACACAGACCAGCACTGTATAACAAATATCTGTCTACACAATCCAGCACTGTATAACAAATACCTGTTTACACAGACCAGTACTGTATAACAAACACCTGTCTATATAGACCAGCACTGTATAAGAAATACCTGTATATATAAAGACCAGTACGGTATAACAAATACCTGTCTACACAGACCAGATCTGTATAACAAATACCTGTCTATAAACACCATCATTTTATAACAAGTACCTGTCTATATAGGCCAGCACTGTATAACAAATTCCTGTCTATACAGACCAGCACTGTATAACAAATACCTGTCCAACAGACCAGCACTTTATAACAAATACCTGTCTACACAGACCAGCACTGTATAACAAATATGTGTCTACACAGACCAGCACTGTATAACAAATACCTGTCTACACAGACCAGCACTGTATAACAAATACCTGTCTTTACAGACCAGCATTAAAACAAATACCTGTCTATAAAGACCAGCACTGTATAACAAACACCTGTCTATACAGATCAGTATTATAACAAATACCTGTCTATACAGACCAGCACTGTATAACAAACACCTGTCTATACAGACCAGTATTATAACAAATACCTGTTTATAAAGAACAGTACTGTATAACAAATACCTGTCTTTACAGACCAGCACTATAACAAATACCTGTCTATAAATACCAGTACTGTAAAACAAATACCTGTCTATACAGTCCATTACTGTATAACAGATACCTGTCTATACAGACCAGCACTGTATAACAAATACCTGTTTACACAGACCAGTACTGTATAACAAACCCCTGTCTATACAGATCAGTATTATAACAAATCCCTGTCTATACAGTACAGTACTGTATAACAAATACCTGTCTATACAGAACAGTACTGTATAACAAATACCTGTCTTTACAGACCAGCATTAAAACAAATACCTGTCTATAAAGACCGGCACTGTATAACAAACACCTGTCTATATAGACCAGCACTGTAAAACAAATACCTGTATATATAAAGACCAGTACGGTATAACAAATACCTGTCTACACAGACCAGCACTATATAACAAATACCTGTCTATACAGAACAGTACTGTATAACAAATACCTGTCCACACAGACCAGCACTGTATAACAAATACCTGTCTTTACAGACCAGCACTATAACAAATACCTGTCTATAAAGACCAGTACTGTAAAACAAATACCTGTCTATACAGGCCATTACTGTATAACAGATACCTGTCTATACAGACCAGCACTGAATAACAAATACCTGTCTACACAAACCAGCACTTTATAACAAATACCTGTCTACACAGACCAGCACTGTATAACAAATATCTGTCTACACAGACCAGCATTGTATAACAAATACCTGTTTACACAGACCAGTACTGTATAACAAACACCTGTCTATATAGACCAGATCTGTATAACAAAAACCTGTCTATAAACACCATCATTGTATAACAAGTACCTGTCTATATAGGCCAGCACTGTATAACAAATACCTGTCTATACAGACCAGCACTGTATAACAAATACCTGTCTTCACAGACCAGTACTGTATAACAAATACCTGTCCATACAGACCAGCACTATATGACAAATACTTGTCTGTAAAAACCAGTACTGTATAACAATTACCTGTCTATACAGACCAGCACTGTATTATTAATACCTGTCTATACAGACTAGAAATGCATAGCAAACACCTGTCTATAAAGACCAGCAATGTATAACAAATTCATGTTGATAGGGACCAGCAATGTATAACAAATACCTTCCTATATTGAATTAAAGGCATTGCATAACAAATACCTGTCCATAAAGACAACCTCCACATATCAAATATGTCATAAACAATGACAAAGGACTGAAAAATGTAAACTTACACTAAAATGCTAACCACATCTTGTCAAATTACTGTAACAACTTTTTCGAAGAAGTTTGTGTGACTTTCTTTCCTAGTGCAAAACATTTATAATTTCACATTGAAAGACATCTCTTCTAAAATTGGTAATGTCAATCCCCTGAAGTGGTAATAGTTAGGAAAGTATTTGAAAAAAAGTGTAATTAAACCAAGTGTTAATCTTGTTCAACTATTGATAGTGCTTTCACCTTCAGATGGAAATGTCTTGGGTTCAAATGCCACTGCATGCAGTTATACTCATTCCTTCAGTCTTGTTCACATTAACTTTTCCCCAGTCTATACAGCTGTAAAAGTTGCACAATTATAGCTTGGAAGTAATCTTTCAACAAGAGACCCAATGGGCCTGTATCACCCACCTGGTATTAGCGGTTCATTCGAACAAACTTTGTAGCCAGCCCATTATCCCAACATGCTAATGACCAAATAAATTTGTCATCATCCTAAGGCCTATTTGTCATTGAGAAGAAGTCATTGAAAGAAAAAAGCTGATACTGCACAGAGGGACGGACAGATGAAGCCAAAGTTCACTTGCATTTGGGCCTTTGGGCAGGTGAGCTAAAAAGTTAATTCTCAACTAACTACCACTTCATAAAATAGAAATCAAACCGTTTTAAACTCTGACTGTATGGCCTATAGCTACTAGGCTAGGAAATTGACCTCTTACTAACCATGCAATAGAAAAAATATAATTAGGCTGTCATGATTATACTTGTGATTTGTAGTAGATTTATCTCCTTTTAAAATCTATTACCCAGGTATGTTACATTTTCTTACTATTTAGAATGACCTCAGTGCGATCAAGACAGGCATTTTTGTGTCAGCAACTAAATGAATCCAAATTACCATTCTTAACATATATTTGACACTTTACTTAGTGTGGAACTCTTTTTGAAAGAAGATGCAATTGTCACAGCAAGGTAGCATATACACTTAACATGAGGTCTAGGATAAAATGCTCATTTATAAGTGATAGACAATTTCCTTTTAAAACTCAATATACAACAACCATTCAATTATTACCATTACCTGTAAAATTTCAAGCATTACATTTTGTAAATGAACATTATATGTATATAAATTTCTTTATATCATTTAATTGAAAGCTGAAAAACATTAAATGTATATTTTTTCCTGACTGTATTATGAGCACTGAGTGACAAACAAAATACCAGTGTGAATATAAGTGGGAACTCCAGTGCAGTCTTAGAGCTGTTCTCACTATTTAATATGGCCAGGTGCCAAACATATCAGATCATCTCCACAATGAACCAATGGACGACCAGGAGTCTATCTTTCCTGTTTTCAGGTTATAGTTTCAGGATATGTCACCATACTGATGTTTCCTGTATAGACAAAACTATGATAGCTAGTAACTCTAATGCAATTGGTTGCACACAGGTAGATATAATATTTTATTTAAGTATGTTTTAATTAAATTTGCAATTTTAAATAAAAAACAAATACTGCAAATATATATGTAGATACATATACTGGTATCATCTAAAAAAAATATGTAATTGATAGAACTCATTACATAAGTGATTTACGATAATGTACATTTTCATATTTCTTTGCTCTTAAATTTGCATCAAATTTATTACATGATATTATATTTATCCTAGTTACAACCCTGGGAGCATATGAGCAATTTGGAAAAAGCAGAATGTTACAAAACTCTCAAAAAGTAGTCCAGATAGACACTTTATAAAATTACGAAATTATGTACAAATAAGGATGTAGTAAGGATGGGATACTTAATCAGAAAGATAGGGGATGCTTGATATGTCAGATGGTTTATTTATGAGGTCATATACGGTAGCTATTATAAAGTGTTCAATATATTTCTGCACATTACAGATAGCTGT